TGCTTGGGCCCCCACTCCCCGAGGAGGCGCGGCACACCTAGTCCCCACCATCGGGGCCGGGGACGAAACGGGGCACGCGGTCGTGTGTCGTCCCACTCGTCCCCAAGTCCTCCCGCACACACGTCACACGGGGCACACGAGTCACACGACATACGTCGGCCGCCACGCGACCAGTGCACACGCCTGCGAGTGCACCGCGTTTCGCACCACCCTGCGTCCAACCGATATCGCGAGTGTCTGCTTGCCGCGCGTACAACACGCGACCGCGAATCTTCGAGGCTTCGAAGCCACGTGAACCCGGAAGAATCCCGGCAGTTGCTCCTTTCGTCTTCCTTTTCCTCTTCCTCTTCCTCTTCCTTTTCCCGCCCCCGTCTCGTGTTTGCACGCGTTTGTCAAATTATCACGCGCTATGCGCACCAGAATCTGTTTCACGTCCGATCGGCACTCAATCTTGCCTTCGAATAAATTAAGCATCTGATTTCGAGAAAGAAAATTCGAGAGTGAGATCGGCGACGAGAGTCATCGAGAGAGAGTGGATCGAGTTGCATCGTGTCGAGTGGGGGAAAAAAGTGCGATGTGGCGAGTAGTGGTCGCGCGATCGGACGAGAACAGCACGTTGCTCTCGTCGGAGATCGGTTCCGGGCCGGTCGGTCCAGTCGGCCCGAATCACATATCCGCCCTTTCCGGGCCGCCACCACCTTCCGGCCATCATCACCATCATCACTGGGGCTATCCGCCGCCACCTCATCCTTCTTATCAGCCGCAACATGCCGACGTGGCGTCGCGGCCCTCTCACGACCTCAGGCAACCGAGCACCGCCACCGCCGATCTCCGACACGAGATGCACAGGTCCGATCTCAGGCATCCTTCCGCCACGTCCGAGATGCAGCAACGACACCAGCAACCGCCACCGGAACTGCACAGGCCCGAGATGGCCAGGCATCATCATCATCATCATCATCATCATCAGGACATGACCGCGGAGATCAGATCTAGTCACGAGTTCCCCGATCTCAAGATCGACGTCACAGACATAAGGAGCCAAGAGAACGGGCAACAGCAGCAACAGCAACAACAACAACAGCAGCAACAAACGTCGCAACAGAGCCAAGTTCATCAACAGAGAAACCTGAAAAGAACTATGAGCGACTCGGACTGCGACGACGTGTTTTCCGAAGAGAGTGGCAAAGAACCGTAAGTCGAGCGTCTCAACCTGCCAGTTCCAAACCTTTCAACATCATGTCAAGTGCCGTGTCGGTCCATCATTTTCATGATGACCGACAGTAATCTTTCCGTTTAGGCCACGTCGATGGAATTTAGTACAAATTTAACCCCTTGGCTGTGACCTGCACTGTGCATTTTTCAGAAATCAATATATTTTATGTATCAATATATTGGTGTGATTTCTCAATATATTGAAGCAATCAAAACCAATATTATTTGTCTATTCTGTTTATTGAATGACTAAAAGTTTAACAGTGACTTTAAGCTTTATTTCATAAGGTGTCTAATAATCTAGCAAGATTGTATGGTTATATCTAATACACAATCCTACATTTCTTTATTGAGCATTAATGAGTAGATTAATTGCTTCTTTTGTTACGTTTCCTACAAACTACATATTTCTGTGTTTTTCTCATTAATCTATCACCACACGTTTTCACTTTAAGAGTGTTGAAACTGCAAAATAATCACATTTACGTTTAAATAATATATATGACTAGTGGGAGAGATGTTGAATTCAAATTCACTTTTTTTTTGACAATAACAAGTAAGTTGAGCCTGTAGACGTCAACAATAGCCAGGGGATTAAGATTACAGGAAATAGAATAGTAGCTGAATACTACTTTTATTGGTACTTATTATTCAAACAGTATACAATATGATCATGCAAATAGTAACTTTAATAAATTTTATTGAAACCTTTTCACCCATCAGAGAACTTTCTTGTAACTTTTTTACAATTAGTATCACTAACTAATTTCTTCCCAGTGGCATTTTCTTCCTAACAACTTTTCAGAATAAAAATTTTCTGACTATGATGGGTGTAATCGTACTGTGATGATGATTTTTGCGTAAACGGAAAGATGAACAAAATATGCAACGACACTTGACGTGTTAATGCCGATTGAAAAAAAAAGTTGCACCTGAACGAGAAATACTTAACCTAAACCTAACCTAAATCAAGTTTGTGTACAGTTATTCACGTCAATAAATATTTGAACAATAATTTATAACACTTGAACTACTACAAATTCGTAAAACAATAAACCTGAGCTCTTTTCGAAGGTTGAATTCTCTTCTTTCGAAATACACCATTCGAGTCATTCTCAGATGTTTTTACATCACGTATCACGTAGGTGAAAGAGAGAATGTAGTATAGATTGTCATACTGTGTAAACACATTGGAAAATTTTTCACAGTTAAATCGTTCGATTGAAATTTTTTTTCTTTCATCAGTTTATCGAACATTGAATATCGCGAATTTATAAGCCCCCCAATGACATCCAAAGTTGAACAAAACGATGAAATAAAAATTGTACATCAAGTTTCAGCAAGCCATTACAAATTCAGTCGTGAAAAAAGAATGTTTTCGAGAAGAAAGACGTTTTCGCTTTCTCACTTTAAAATGTTGAAATAAAACTTCAGAAATCAAGCTTTAAAACGAACTCGTTCATAGTAATTTAAACATTTAACTCAAGCGACCGAGTAGCAATGCAGTTTGAGTAAAAATTCTGCAGAAAGTGATAATTAGAAAATTCAAAAGTGAGACATATGGAGACAAATCAGCATACGATATATCGTTGTTCGACACTGTAAAAAAATTAATTGTTGTCCTATCGGCGACATACGGTTCGACTGCTTTCGAACAGCGCGGTAATTAAAATCTCATTGTCTGAAGGGGGGGGGAGCGGGTTAGGAACTATTTGAGGAGGACCAGGTTTAGGTTAGGTTTACATACACTAACGCTGACGATCAATTCGACTCTCACTTTTCTCGCACGCAAACACACGTACACACAGTCAAGTATCGTTGCCTTTTTTTTTCCTCTCTGTTGCTCGATGCAGTTGCAACTCGCCGGGCGGCGACTCGTGCCAGCACGCGTCGCGGAAGCGAAGACGAGGGATGATCGAGAAGAAACGTCGTGACAGAATAAACGCGTCGCTGGGCGAGCTGCGAAGGTTAGTGCCGGCGGCAGCGAGAGATCCTCACAGCGGCAAACTGGAGAAGGCGGAGATCTTGCAGCTCACGGTCGAGCACTTGCGAACGCTTCGGAACAAAGGTAATTCCCTCGTGTTAACACGTAAATCGTCTATGGGTGACGATTTTAATTTTTAACTTTCGTGGCAAGAGAAGGTGCAATAGCTTTTAGTTTCTGATGGTAAGTT